TGCATAGATGAATGAATGAATGAACACCCTGAAGATGACAGTGTTTTAGTTTTACCCCAGCAAAAAAAAAAAAAAAAATCAGTCTTCTCTTTCTGGAAAGTTATTACAGTCCCATCATCCCAAGATCAGATTTGGCCCAACCTTGCCAGGCTGCAACTTTTTCACAGGAGATGTGAGCCAAACAAAGGAGGAAGAGGATGACCTGAGATGCCGTGTTAAGATTCACAGGGCAGCCTGTAATCCCAGCACTTTGGGAGGTCGAGGCAAGAGGATTGCCTGAGTCCAGGGGTTCAAGAACAACCTAGGCAACTTGGCAAGACCTCGTCTCTACAATAAATCAAAAAAAAAAATTAGCTGGGCATGGTAGTGCACACCTGAAGTTCAGGCTACTTGGAAGGCTGAGAGGAAGGACTGCTGGAGCCCAGCAGGTTGGGGCTGTGGTGGTCGTGAGCGTGCCACTGCACTCCAGCCTGGGTGACAATGAGGTTCCAACCAAAAAAAAAAAAAAAAATTAGCTGGGCATGGTAGTGCACGCCTGAAGTTCAGGCTACTTGGAAGGCTGAGAGGAAGGATTGCTGGAGCCCAGCAGGTTGGGGCTGTGGTGGTCGTGAGCGTGCCACTGCACTCCAGCCTGGGTGACAATGAGGTTCCAACCAAAAAAAAAAAACATTCACAGTGCAGTCCGATTCTTCAGCATTTCAGAACATGAATAGAGATGAACCAGACTGGGGGGGTGGGATGAGGAGACGGAAACTCTAAGGGCAACTGCCGAGGAGGCATGGGGCCACGTAACATACTAGGAGAAACTTCTTCAAGCAGGGACAGTGAAGAAAAGCACACCCTGAGTGATGGTGCTAGGACAGGCAGCATAGGGAGTGTGGGCTTAAAGGATGTTTTTTAAGTGGATAGTTTTAGAAATGCCATTCCTAGTGGGCTCAGTGGTTTAAACCTATAATCTCAGCACTTTAGGAGGCAGAGGCGAGAGGCTTGCCTGAGCCCACAGGTTTGAGACCAACCTAGGCAACATGGACAGACCTCATCTCTACAATAAATCAAAAAATTAGTCGAGTGTGGTGGTGCATACCTGTGGTTCCAGGTACTTGGAAGGCTGAGGCAAAAGGATTGCCTGAGTCCTGCAGGTCGAGGCTGCAGTGGCCGTGAGTGTGCCCCTGCACTCCAACCTGAGA